AATACTGGCGTTAAAAAAAGCAGAAAAACTGCTGTGTTTCGCTATATGCTATGGTGAGTGAAAAAAACCGAACACTCTTTTACTGGTAAATAGGCATTTCACCTAAGCCCGCATGAGAAACAATAAAATCGAGGTATTTATGGGCTACAGAATTCACTTACCATAAGTTGATCTGTGTACTTGTTTGTTATTTACGTGTACTTACGTGTACTACTTACTTCTATTATGAGATTTAACTTTTTAATTCTCTAGTATAATATATGTAGCACTAACTTCAGAATGTAAAATTATTGTATTCTTTCTTTAGTTGTTTGAATTTGGCTTGTACTTTTTTTTGAAAGTTATTTCTTCGTCTTTTAAGTGGTTAAGGAATATCGCAATCTCAATTTCGCCTAAATAGTTCCATTAAAAATTTTGCCATCCTTAGGGGTTTAAATTTTCTCTAAATTAAAATGGAAGCATTCCTGAAGAATAACCTTTTTATTAAAAACATAATCATAAAAATCGCTACACAACTGTCGAAAAGATCGTGTAATATAATATACATACATCTGATTTGAGAAAGTACTTCTTTTGGATTCGGCTAAAAATGCAGTTTAGGTGACTTCAAGAGAACGGTTATTAGACCTTTCCTAATCTAATGCAATTATATACCAGGAGTTCAGGAATATACAAGAAACTCTCACAGCGTGTACTGTACATACTACATACTACTACACATTGAATAAAATTACTTTTACGGATTCTATATATAGGGGGAGTCCGCCGTGACCATGGGTGCTGTAAAGCACCCGAAACGTCGGGAATTAATAAAATTAAGTGAATTAAACGCGATAGAATCCGTATGTAAGTAGTTTTATTCTACAATTTCTAACGTAATTTCTTTTCACAATTTGGAGTATGTAATCTCGTTAACAGGTGTATAGAAATTGAGCGAGTAAACAAAAGACGGGAATGTTCATCGGATAAATGCCTAAACAATTAGTAAGGTGCGGAGGGATGGTCTCAGTTATTATAGTCCCTTTATTATTAAAGTTTACGCTACAATTGATCAGTTATAATTATTTCCCCAGTTTGAAATTAGTTCATATATTTTAGCGTAACTGGCGTTAGTTACCTTTATTATACGGTTATTAACTATGGATTATATTGTCTGACTGCCTCGTTAGTCTAGTGGTTGTAAGCGCATCTGCTGATCATGAGGTCCCGGGTTCGAATCCGAGTCAGGCTAAAACCAGTTGTTAAGTTTTTCCATCATGAAATTTTTACCTGCGTGCTTCGGAAACCACGAAACACCGTTAGTTTTGAACCTGATCTCCCTCCGGTTGTGATTTCCGTCCCATCTAACTATGAGAGTAAAGGAACAGAGAGTGCACTTATTTTCGTGCACACACCTGCGTAGATCTCAGGTCTCCATTGAGCTTGAATGCCCATCTGTTGAGACCGAAATACTGTCTTATATTGTCTAATGTATACACGTGTGCCTGTTCCATTTGCAGAAGTAATTTGCCTTAATTGCCAATTTTCCTTGATCCGCGTGGTTTTACGTTGGGCATAAGCAAGAGGGTTTTACCATCATCTATCCGAAGTGGCTAGAGTGTTCTGACATATACCATATTCGCCTCCTACGATACCCACAAGAGCATTCCATTCATTACAGCCTATAAAAGTTCACAGCTGAACATAGGCCTTCCCCTATAGTTTACCCCATATTTACTATACTTGGAACACTGGTTGGCAACCGCAGATTTTATTATTTTGAGTCATTATCTGAAAGATGCTGCTGCCTATCTCCTAATTCAGTTACCCTCTATCGCATCCTATGACTCCCATGTGATGATATTGGGTAGTGGATACTCTTACACCGCCATGTCACGGTTCGATACGACCATACTCCTCTCGAGTTCGACTATTCATTAATAGATGTAACACTATCGATCTAGAAAGTGTTTTTTTTTATAGGATATGGTGACAAACGAGCACACAGTCCACCTGATGGTAAGTGGTTGCAGTGACCCATAGACGTCTACATTTATCCTCAATAAATAATCAAAATGCAGATGCGTCATCACCCGTGAGGACTAAGATGGAATGCCTCTTTTCCAGTAAAAAGGCTCTCCGGTTCTCTATACTCACCATATGAAACACAGCAGTGTCAAGCTGCCATTTTACGCTGGTATTCTGTGAGAGCGTGGTCCTTCCCCGGTCGAGCCGACCGCTGCATAGCTGCATAGCTGCAGCGTGGCTCTACTACGTGTGATGCTAGATAAAGGAAAGAAATAAAATGACAGTTTTAACAAACCTTAAACAGTAAATAAATATATGGTTCTTAACGTATGAACAGAATGAAAAGGTGCATAATATAAATAGTTCTTTTTTCTAATATATAGTGTACATATTTCTGCCGATGGTTTGAACAGTAAGAGTCAGTGTAATCACAGGATGTGGGGTATTTCATTGTGGCTGTGGTGGTGTGAGGTGAGGTATATCCGCGGAATTCGCGGTTCAAGGAGAATAACTTAGCAACGTTGATGTTGGTGATGAAGCCGCAGACTAGCGAGAAGTCAGCGGCGAAGGACGATGAGCCTTTTGGGACCGTTTTTGATTTTGGGGCCTGAGGAGGCGGCACTGAGGCTGTGAGGCAACAAGTGCCGGCGGTATCACCCAAGCGTTGGGTTTTGGCGCGAATGGCGCGGGAAGGCTTTCACCTTGCTCGGCTACCCCGGTTACTGGGGCGGGCTTAGTGGCTATTTGAGGCAAGGATGTGGGCACTGTCGACTGTGTGGGTCTGCCCCTAAGGCAGGCAGCCGAGAGCGAGACACACTGGCTTGAACCGCGCGTCACGGCTTCTACTTTTGCGCTGCTTCCTGCGCGGCGCTTTGGAACATCCGCTATAATTCGCTGGATGTCCCTCTTCGCGGCAATTGACGCAACTCGCGAGTTCAACCGTCTCGGGCGTGCGGGGGCAGTCTGTTGTGGTCACCTAGGTTGACGCACCTAGGCCTGGCGTAACAATTTCTGGCTGAGTGGTCGTACAATTGGCATCGGTGGCACTAGCCAACTATGTACCTATTTTGGGGGGCTTTAACTGCAATCTCCATTAGGTTGCGGATGCGCCGAACTTTAAAAATCTCCTTGCCTTCCGGAGACAGGTCCAGAACGACAAGGCACAGATCTAAAAATCGTTTTTTATTAGTTTGATGATGCATTCTGTGCACCTCTTGGACCGAGAAATTTTTTCGAGGCCACTTAAGGTATTCCGTTTCGAGCTCCTTGCACGCAGGTAATTTGTAACACTACGGAATTCCTCGGTCGAGTTAACAAACATACGAATGCCCTTTGTACCGGCATTTTGCACCTTTGGGCAATAGATTTTTTTGGAGTCCAACCAGTATGATAGGTTGCTCCATTTTGATTTGTCTAGGATTATTATGGGAGGTTGCGATTTGACCCTATGTTCAGCATTTACTGCGGGCTTTGCCGCAGACTTAGGGGCTTGGGCGTGCGCCACGGGTCAGGCTTTTGTGCCGGAGTGGCAGTGGGGGAGGAGGGGTCCGGGTTAGGCTTGGCTGCCTTTTTTGGCGCTGCGCGTATGCGCTTTTTGTTTTGGATGAGGGTGAAACCTTCGTCTTCAGGCTAACGCAGGACACGCGAGTCTGTCTCCATGTCGGAGCCTTATTCGCATCCGAGAAGGCCGAGAGGCCGCGGGTGGACATCGCAGAGGGTGCGGGGGACGCGGCTTCGTAGATTGTGTCTATGGACACGGGGGTTGCAGGTCCAGTGCTCGGACACAGACAGAGGATCGTCGATCCACACGGTTGGGCGGTCTATAGGGTGCCAGGCTCGCTAGGTTAAGGGACCTGCTAGAGGCGCGGACTCGAGCGCGGGCTCGGGCGCGGTACGGGCATTGTGCTGAGCAAGGCAGCTCAGATATCAGGGCAGGCTCGACTAAAAAAGTCGGCGAGTTCGTCGATCGTTATCGACGCCATTTTGTCACCTATGCTAATAAGCACAGATGTGTACTAAGCTACCCCACCTTTCGACGGGGGAGGTGTGCTAGGGTGTGAGCCTAGCTGTTGCCTAATGCAACAAGCAACACAAAAATTAAAAACGATGGCTGCCTCTGAGGCGGCGGGTGCTTTTCAATCTACTTACGGTTACCGATACCAGGAAGCACACTTTGCACCACAACAAGCGTCCGATTCACTTCACAACAGTCTCCTGGGACAGCGGGCTTCGCACACCACAGTGAGAACTAAGGTAGCAACCAATCACAGAGCACCAAGTAAGGCGGTGTATAACGGAAAACAACTTTAATTTTGCGCATGAGCTAAGAGACTGGAGTGACGGGAGTGAACACAACCGACATATCCGAAGACTACAGAGCCCAAACGCAGAATCACTGAACCACTCGTAGTTCGAAGCTATTCTGTATATACTGTTTTTACTTCGGAACTTTAATAGCACGATTTAGGCTTCGATGTATTATCGCTTGCGACGCGATGACAGCGCCGCCACATCATCTTATTCCTTACGTATGACAATGTATCTGTAAGCTTTCTAATGCGTTATGGTTGCTTCAAATTACTTAGGCGTCGGTGAAGAAGAAAGAGAAGAAAAATAACCGCAAATTCTAATTTTGAAATATGCCAAAAACAAATAAATAGTGCGAAATATTTTAACGTATAGTAATGAACCCATTATACATAACAGCACAAGATAACGCGACCCATGTAGCTGTCATAATTACCACGGGTACTCTTAATGGGCAAAAGCGTCGTGTTTACGACACCGTATTTTAGTGACGTATCTTAGTATAAAACGGATTGTAATTGTTGTGGGATAGTATATATATTTATCTGCTTAGCAGTAAAAAGTAAGCACGTCATATAAGTTTTACTACGCACGAGAACAATTTCGCTTTATCTTAATGAATTCGAACGTAATTAAATACCAATTATCGACATCGCTGCCATTTTCATCAGGTTTCCATTATGGATATGTTTATGGAGATTGTTTTATTTTTTATCGTCTATTTCGTATGGATTGAAGCAGGTACGTCGCCATACTTGTTGGTTTTTTGTCATTCATAAACACTATTTTAGAATTTAATCATGCCAATATTTTTGTCTTTCCGTATAATTTATTATTCAAATTTTCCTCATACAACGTCGAATTTAAATTTAAGCCTATTGAGTACAGATGGAACATTTCTATATCATGAATAGAGAATACTTCATTTATTATATATACCATCAGCACACACATTATTAAATTTTTATAGTAGTTACGCTTAATCTTGGGGCTGGTGTGTGCATCCTTATAAGTTATACAGTATTACATTGTACCGTTAAATTAAGACAAAGCAAGCCTACAGTATAGCCTAATAATGAAATTTGTCGTAAAACCATTAAATATAAAGATATAAATAACAAAATAAATCATACATATATCTGAGTAGCAGCTTATTATATTGAGTGGCACGGATGTCAAATATTAGAACATACATACATTTTACACTTTGTATGACTCATTCTAAATATTCACACAATCGAGAGTGAATAGAATACTATCATAAGTGATTTATATGGGACTTAAGTTACCTTTAACGATACTTCAATAAAATTTTAATCTCTCAAGTATGATATATTATAAAATAATAATGTACCGGTCATTATGCAAAACAATAAATAAACTCATCTTACTTACCGTTTACTATATTATTCTCATGTCTATATTCACAACCGTTTAAGTAACGTTCCCACAATATTCTACTAGTCATTAAAGCCGGCGTAAATTGCGTTGCTTAATAAATTTTATACCTTCAACGTTAAGATTGTATATATAAATAGAGTGTTTACCAACATTTTGTGCTAAAAACAATAAAATTATATTCTTCATTAAATTCAGTAATAAATCTGTAAGAATATACTGATAATTCATGTGGGTATATTATCTGAATACCAATATTTTACTTTTTAACCGACTTTTAAAAGGAGGAGGTACTCAATTCGATTGCATGTTGCTTTTTATGTGTGTTATCTCATAACTTTTTTCTAGGTTAACCGATTTTGATGGTTATTTTTATTTGAAACTAGTGCTTTTCATGTGGTCCCATATAAATTTGATCAAGGTCAAAAGAGTAGTTTATGAGTTATCACAATTGCATAGTTTTGAAATAGGAATATCTGTTTTTTATTTTCTGTTTACATACCGATAGATTTATGAGTTATCAACTCCTTGCAGTCTCTTCGAGTCAGTCTATTTCGAAACTGCCTAGATTTATTGGAACTGAACAGCGTGTATCCGGGATTTTGTTAGGATTTTTTATTATATCCCACCACGATAACTATACTTCCTCAACAAAATCTTCTTCGTCATGTTACATCTTAGTTGAACCACAGTTTTACATTTATTATAGTTCAAAATAGTTTACATAGTTCTATTTTAAAACGCGCACTTCTTGCTACTTTACTTTTTGTGCAGAGTAATGACACATTTTAAATGTTACGTGTAGTATTTAAAATATTTTTTTTAAATTGCATAATATTATTTTATTCATATTCTCAGTGCCACCGGAAGCTTGTTTTGCTAGTTTTAATTGGGGTGACTGCGGACAACCTCCTGTGCCAGTTATGTACTACTGGAAGCCCGGTTCCAGATGTGAGGTGGGACTCTGGCGGGGTTGCCACCCAAATATAAATATGTTTCAAGATGAATACGAATGCGTTGCTACGTGTATATACACTGCCAGGGGCGGGGACGAAGACTATCACAATCTAAATGGATTGGCGGGAACCGAAGAAATCAGAGATGTCGGAGAAATCGGTTATGATGAATCTACACCAACTAGTGACGACAATTGTACTCTTACCTCTACGGGAGACCCAGTTACGTCTAGTAATGTTACTATCGGTGCCGAAAATGCAACAGTTACGAGTACTATCAGTGGTATATCGGTCGAAACTACAGCAACAACCTCTAGTGATAATGATCATGTGTCAAATTCCACCCAGGCAAGCACGTTAAATACTACTGTTGAAGGGACACCAACTCCTACACCTCTTACCTAGTTTGTTGTAAATTCTCATCTTACGATAATTTAACAAATATAATACTTAAAAATATTTGTATGTATTGTCTTATTATTTTGCATTGAATGAAATTATGTATTTTATAATTTTTAATTGTTATCAGGAAGATGCCGTTGTCCATTTTTTTTGTTTCTTTTTATAGGAGACGGGGCAAACGAGCATCCGGCTCACCTGATGCTAAGGGACTACCGCCGCCCATGAACAACTGCAATACCCGGGGAATTGTAGATGCGTTGCCGGCCTTTTAAAAAGGAGTAGGCTCTTTTCTTGAAGGTTTTATTTCCCTCTTACGACTCCCAAGGGATGATTTAGGTTAGTGAATTCTCTTATAATGTCACTTCACAGACATTTCACTTTTAAGAAAACACTTATTTTCTACCGACTTCAAAATGGAGGAGGTATTTAATTCGACTGTATGTTCTTTTTTATGTGTGTTTCTGCGTGAACGGATTTCGATGATTTTTTTTAATTTGAAATCTGGTGCTTTATTGTGGTCCCGTATAAATTTGATCAAGGTCTGACGAATAGTTTTTAAGTTATTGCTAATAATAAATATTAAAGTCAGTTGTACAAAATTTTTATTTTAAATTATGTGCCAATTATCGTGAAGCACAGATATATGTTTATGATGAATGGGTTATTTTATTGATCTACTGGCTACTACTATGTTTCGTATGGAGTAAAGGAGCTTTATACAGGCAGGCATTCTATCTCAGGGGTGACGATGCATCTGCATTTTGATTATTAATAGATGATAGAAGTCTATGGGACATATCATCCTTTTATCTTCAGGTTGACTGTGTGCTCGTTCGTCATACTAATTCTATAAATAATTTCGATAGTACTCCATTACCGGTTATTCCAATGGTAAAAAGCACTTTCTTGGTCTCTCAGTACTGCTCTCCTAAGGTTGCCTCAAACTATAGGTAAAGGCGACAACCCTAATAAGTAGCAAGCAAGTAAATACCTTAGATTAACTATGGAATCGTTTTTTAATACATTCAATGTGATGTCTTAAAAAATTAAGTTTTAGTTTAGTAGGCATCGTAACCTGCGGCTCGCAGCTAACCGGTAAATCACAGTGCAACCAAACTGTCAAATAACAGTTAACAATTGTAGATCTATGATCACTCACCAACAAGGTATTGTTCAGGTTTTTAAGCAATGTTTGTTATTCGTTTCACATTCGATGAAAAGATACTCTCAGTGCGGGAATCTATCACAAAGGCGTGTTCGTTACCGCAGGGCGGGGTGGTGCTGTAATAAATTCACAATAAACATCGTGCATTGTACTCGCGATAGATTAATTTAGCTGTTCGACGGTATCGCGCGCAGGCGTGCGGGATTTATTTATATAGCGGCTCTGGAGCTGCAGTGAAAAATGTTCTGACTAGGTACACCGGAGTATAGGCCTACATAGATATCTTCTCAACGACATTTCAATACATCTTGTATTGTTTGAAGCAGCAAGCAATTTTGTATTCAGTGTCTTTATTATTTACAAGCGACTCAACTCGGCTTTGCACAAGTAGGATCAATTAATTTGGCGGTAATTAGATTTAAGATAATCATCAAAGATCATCGATTTTATGCGATATACATTTTATCCATTTGTCGATTTAAATTATTATTTATCTGGGGTCACGGCAGTGCTCCCGCCAAGTCGAGCAAAAAAGCGGCACGGCCGTACCATCCTTTTCTCGAAGCAGTTTAGGCCATCTTCGACCCCCTATAACTTCGTTGTGGATAAAACTAGAAGCCTGAATTTTCAGTAACCGAGCATGCATTGTATAACCACGGTATATTTCAAATTTTATACAATTTGAACCAGTAGTTTAAGAATCATAACTAGTCAAAGTTTCTTAATTTTGTCACTCACTGACTGACCGATCATCAAAACTCTAAGGCACTTCTAGCAGACGTAGAAGCTTCAAATTTAGAATAAAATTATTGTTTAGTATAAAAAAAAAAAATTAAAATATTTTGTAATTTCGGTCCAGTTTTTAGATACACCAACTGCATAAATTAATTAAAAATTGTAATCCTATATAAAAATATAGGATTACAAAGTTACATTTGCAGTGAATGAATCATTGTACCTATATAATGAATAATATAATATGTAGATATGTACCTAGATATAATTATGTTCAAAGGTAACTTGTAAAATGGTCAACGGAATGAAAAAGCAAGAATGGGACATGTCATATGAAGTTGTATCAATATCAAGCAAAGTATTAATTAGACTAAATTGCCCGAAAATCCGTAGTTGGTATTCAAGAAGTAGATGGGTACCGGACAGGAACAAAGTAGGATTATCTACAAAAAGAAATGAGCTGCCATCAAAAACAAACCTAGTAAAAAAGACCAAGTCTCGCAACTCAGTTCTTCTATCATAAAAAGTTGTGAGATCCATGTAATACCAAGTCGGTTAATTTATTCAGTCCCTACTTAAGGGTCCTTCTGTCTGAAGTTATTACGTAATTAACTAACCTAACAACATCTTATAGTGACCATATCAATATTAAAATATCTTTTTTGTTTTAAATACATAGATTGACTTGGCAATCGTACTAACCAATCTAATTTAATATAATATGTATTACTTGTGAGATACATTGTGTTTTCATGCGATGGCCAAGTCAATCTATTTATTTAAGATATAAAAGATTTTTAATATTGATATGGTCACTATTGTTAGGTTGCTTGTTAGCTTGTTAGGTTAGCTAATTACATAATAACTTGAGTCAAAAGGTCAAGTAGGGACTGAATAAATTAACCGACTTGGATCTCACAACTTTTTACGGTAGAAGAACTGAGTTGCGAGACTTGGTCTTTTTTACTACGTTTGTTTTTGATGGCATTATATTTACGCGAACATTTTTTAACGAGTTTAATATTGCTCTTTTTTAATTCCCAACCTTTCGGGTGTTGATGAACATCTGAGATTGACTTCATTATGACGACCAGACGACAACTGTTCAGTGATGTTTCAGTGATCGCGAGGGTGACATCCGGCAGCGATCACCGAATGGTTAGAGGCACACTGAACCTAAACGTTAAGTTGGAGAGGTCTCGTCTAATGAAGTCAACGCTCCGTCCCCCTCGTGCTCTAATCCAGAGTCCCGAAACCTTTCAGCTCGAGTTACAAAACCGTTTTCAGTGCCTAGAAGACTGCAATGAAGTGGACGATTTGAATGACAAGCTCGTGGAAACTGTCCATGCGGTCGGAGCTAAGTTCTGCAAGACCCGCCGCAGAAGAACACAAAAACTCTCCAATAACACTCTTAATCTCATGGCTGTTAGACGGGAGATGAAGCTATATTCTTCAACAGATTTGACAGCATACAGGCAACTGAACAGACAGATCTCCAAATGCATGCGGCGGGACTTACGCAACTTCAATACAGCTCGTATTGAAGAAGCGATCGAGCGGAACCAAGGCTGCAAAGTCTTTGCCAGAGATCTGTCTGCCAGAAAGAGCCAACTGTCAAAGCTGAAGACCGAATGTGGCAGCATCGTTTCCGGGGCCCCTGAGATTTTGAGTGAGATTGAGGGGTTCTATGGGCAGCTGTACACGTCATCGTTGGAGCCGTACGCAAGTGTGAGTAACGATCCAAGAACGAGTCTTATCCGACATTATTCCGATGATATCCCGAAAGTCAATCTGAGCGAGATTAAAATGGCTCTCCAGCACCTTAAAAACGGCAAGGCCCCAGGCGAGGATGGAATTACAGCGGAGCTTCTGAAAGCGGGTGGAAAACCGGTACTAGAAGTCCTTCAGAAGCTCTTTAATTCCGTCCTCCATGGTGGCATTACACCGGAGGCGTGGAGCAGGAGTGCAGTGGTCTTGTTCTTCAAAAAAGGCGACAACGCTCTCTTGAAGAACTACAGACCGATTTCCCTTCTGAGCCGCGTCTACGTGCTCTTTTCGAGAGTCATTACGAATCGCCTCGCGCGCAGACTTGACGACTTCCAGCCTCCCGAACAAGCCGGTTTCCGAAAAGGCTTTAGCACCATAGACCACATACATACAATTCGGAAAATTGTACAGAAGTCCGAGGAGTACAATTTGCCACTGTCTGGCGTATGTGGACTATGAGAAAGCCTTTGATTCCGTCGAAATTTGGGTGGTGCTGCAGTCTCTTCAGCGATGCCAAGTTGACTGTCGGTATATCGAAGTCTTGAAGTGCTTGTACAGTAGGGCTACGATGGCTATCCGAGTACAGAACCAGAGTACGAAACCTATCCAATTGCAGAGAGGTGTAAGACAGGGTGACGTCATATCCCCGAAACTCTTTACCGCTGCATTGGAAGATGTTTTCAAGCTTCTGGACTGGAAAGGATACGGTATCAACATCAATGGCGAGTACATCACTCACCTTCGATTTGCCGACGATATAGTCCTTATGGCAGAATCGCTGGAGGACCTAAGCACTATGCTCAATGACCTCAATAGTGTTTCCCAACGGATAGGTCTTAAGATGAACATGGACAAAACAAAGATCATGTTTAATGTCCATGTCACACCTATGCCGGTAGTTGTTGGGAACACTGAGCTCGAAATTGTTGACGAGTATATTTACCTGGGACAAATAGTCCGACTAGGTAAGTCCAACTTCGACCGAGAGGTCAATCGACGGATTCAACTCGGTTGGGCAGCGTTCGGGAAATTACGGCACATCTTCTCGTCAGGTATACCTCAAAACTTGAAAACGAGACTGTACACCCAGTGCGTGTTGCCAGTGATGACATACGGAACTGAGACGTGGTCCTTCACTGCTGGCCGGATGAGGAAGCTCAAGGTCGCTCAGCGAGCTATGGAGAGGGCTATGCTCGGAGTTTCTCTGCGTGATAAACTCAGAAATGAGGATATCCGCAGTAGAACTAGAGTGACCGACATAGCCCAACGGATTAGTAAGCTGAAGTGGCAATGGGCCGGCCATATAGCTCAAAGAACCGACAACCGATGGGGAAGA